TTTACCTTTATCAGTCGGAACTGACACCGATGCTAACTTGAAGAACTAGAGCTTGAAGAAATTGTGCTTGAGCTTGCTTTTCATAGAATCATAGAATTGTAGAGTTGGAAGGGACCTTGACAATCATCAACAACAACAACAACAACAACAACAACAACAACAACAATTTATTATTTATACCCCGCCCCAGCCACTCTGGTCGGTTTCCAACAGAACACTAAAATACAATCTAGTCCAACCCTGAGCAATGCACAAATATGCAGCTGTCCCATACTGCGATCGAACCTGCAACCCTGGTGTCATGAGCACCACGCTCTAACCAGCCCATTCCTTTCCCCTCAAGTGCCATGTTTATTTTTAGTTGTGAACAGTCTTAATGCTATTCCTCACTCCCCCCAGCCTCTCTGAGAGCCTTTGGCTAAAGGGGCTATTGATTTAAATAAATTAAATAAATATGGTTAGGCCTTAGTAGGAATCATTACAGTCAAACCTCGGTTGTCAAATGCAATCCGTTCTGGAAGACCTTTCGACCTCTGAAATGTTCGACAACCAAGGCACGGCTTCCGATTGGTTGCAAAAGCTTCTTGCACTCAAGTGGAAGCCGTGTCGGATGTTCAGCTTCTGAAAAACGCTCAAAATCCGGAGCATTTACTTCTGGGTTTTCCGTGTTCGGGAACTAGAACACATGATAATGGAGGTGTTTGGGAACCGAGGTATCAGATTGCTTCATCTTATTAATAGGAGGTGTTTGTTCGGTCTAGTGATATTTGTCTGGCTATTTATCTTTTGTTACGTTTTGTAACTGCTGGTGTGTTATCCTGGAATGTTGCTGCCTAACATTTTATGGTGCAGAATTTATCTGATGTTGTGAGCTGCTTTGAGCATAGCTTGCCATGGAGAAGCAGCATTCAATTAAAATAATGCTTCTGGTGAATTCCTTGTAAACTAATATGCTTGCCTTGGTCTAGGCTTGTTTGTTGTTGTTGTTTAGTCGTTTAGTCGTGTCCGACTCTTTGTGACCCCATGGACCAGAGCATGCCAGGCACTCCTGTCTTCCACTGCCTCCCGCAGTTTGGTCAGACTCATGTTAGTAGCTTTGAGAACACCGTCCAACCATCTCGCCCTCTGTCGTCCCCTTCTCCTTGTGCCCTCCATCTTTCCCGACATCGGGGTCTTTTCTAGGGAGTTTTCTCTTCTCATGAGGTGGCCAAAGTATTGGAGTCTCAGCTTCAGGATCTGTCCTTCCAGGGAGCACTCAGGGCTGATTTCCTTCAGAATGGATAGGTTTGATCTTCTTGCAGTCCATGGGACTCTCAAGAGTCTCCTCCAGCACCAGAATTCGAAAGCATCAATTCTTCGGCGATCAGCCTTCTTGATGGTCCAGCTCTCACTCTCATACATCACTACTGGTTGGTCTAGGCTAGTCTTCCCCTATGTCATACCCTCCAGCTGTACTGGGGCTGATGGGACTTGTAGTTCAAAATATCTGGAGAGCACCAGGTCAGCACAAGCTAGGATATGCTGAACAGGTGCGACAGAATATGTGACTTGTCTGGTCTTTAACAGTTGTGTCAGAGGAAATTTCAGCCCACGTTAGTTCCACTTCCTAAAACAGTACACAAACCAAAACTCTGCAGGTTTCATGATGCAGTTCTCCATCCAAAGACTGTGTACAAAAATATTTAGTTTTGTTTTCAAAGAAATGCTTTTAAAGAAACAAACACAGGTAAGGCTGGAACAATGGGAAACTGAGAGAAACCAAAATCGGCAGACTTATCAGTAATGTGCCGAATTGAACTAAAAACTGGGAAAATAAGAAACCGAGTGAAACTGAAATGGACATATCTGTCCATTCCTGAGGACAAATGGATCTGGGTTGAGCTTCTTTGGGGAAGACCTTAGCTTGGCAAAGCAAACCATGGTGCCCTGTGCATTTCCGATCTTCCAAACCATGGTTAGCTTAAGTGTACGGTGAGGTGTAGCATTGGTGACACTGAGACAGAGAAACAACAATAAAAAGTTAGGTGAGTGGATCTGCAGGCCAGAAGCCCATTTCCATAGTCACTGTACAAAGCAGAGCAGACAGGAAACAGCTGTGAGATTTAAAACATCTCTCCTTTGTACAGAGTAGTGCTGTATGTGGGAACTCGCTGGAACACGGGCCTAGATTAATGGGGTGAGCTTGCCATAGAACACAGCTGGGCCTTTCATGGGGAGAAAAAGGTCTCAGCCGTAGAGAAGGGCTGCAGAAAACAGCGGAGATGAGAGTGTTTTATTTTCTCCTACGTTTCTTTGCTCATTTCCCATTGGCAGGGCCTGTGTGCTCTATTCATATCCAGGAGCCTGGCTGGATGGAACCCCCAATTTGGCAGGCAGAAAAGCTCCGCTTTCTTTTATTTTCACCAAAGCAATTTTTCCTAGCCTTTCTGCCTTTGTAGAAAGTTATTGGTAGAAGAAAGAAGGGAGTTTTAAGGTTTGATTTCTCATGGTTAGGAATTGGGGGGGGGGCAGCGGCTTGATTTTGCTTGCATTTTAATGAGGAACTATGCAATGCACACATTTCTGACCCGAAAGCACAACTATACTTCAAATTCCACACGTCTCTGAATTTTGCAACACACTTCTCCAACTCAACCATGTGTGCAAAAATGCACATATTAGGGGGACTGTGTGCATTAAAAAATGCACGCATGGGTAAAAAATCACACCCAAAAAGGTATTACGTTAGGAGAAGATTGCTTGAGATAAAAGTGCATATTAGTCAAAACTGCACACAGAAACATTATTGGGAGAAATTTGCACTAAAATGCTGACGAATCTTCATGAGCATTAAAAACAAAAATTGCAAATCAATGCAGCAATGTGAAGAACAGAATGTGAGATGGGGGGACGGGGAATGAGATACTGAGAAAAACTGAAATTGATTGAGCCATCCGTTCCCTACTCATGGTCCAGAGTAAAATATCTGAATGTTGCAGCACTTCCAGTCTCCTCTGTGGATGAGAGATTTAGCCAATGGTTGGTGGAGACGTTTGAGAATGTAGCTTGATCTTCATTTTTCAGCAAACCAGCCTGATTACTGGGCTACTAGATTGGACTAGCCCAGTAGTCCAATAGTAGTCTTCAGCTTCCTCCAGCCCCAGCATTGCCAGTGTGGTGTAGTGGTTTAGAGCGGTGGACTCGTAATCTGGTGAACCGGGTTCGCTTCCCCGCTCCTCCACATGCAGCTGCTGGGTGACCTTGGACTAGTCACACTTCTCTGAAGTCTCTCAGCCCCTCACCTCACAGAGTGTTTGTTGTGGGGGAGGAAAGGAAAGGAGATTGTTAGTCGCTTTGAGACTCCTTAAGGGGAGTGAAAGGCGGGATATCAAATCCAAACAACTCCTTCTTCTTCTTGCCAATGTTCAGGGGTGATGGGAGTTGTAGAGTCTTAGAATTGTAGATTTGGGAGAGACCCAAAGGATCAGCTGGTTCAACCCCCTGCAATGCAGAAATCACTGCTAGCCCTGAATCTCCCAACATTCAGTGGCACCAAATGACCCAGCTGTGGTTTAGTATTATGAGGATGTGAGGAAACTGGTGGTTGTAGACCAACAACAAGTGGAGGTCACAGGTTAAGAACGTAAGCAGAGCCCACAACTGTTTCTGTTCATTGCAACTTAGGAATTAGTAATGAATGTCCACTGTGGGGAGCTGGATGCTGACGTCCTGCCAATTTTTATGCATCTGTGTTCCCTGGTAGGGAGGACGGTGGCAGAGGTCCCGAGTGGCACTGCCCAACCCCCTCTGGGTCCTGAGATATGCCCAACCCTGCCCACTGCTGGTGCCAGCTTTGAGATTTAAAAAAGTTTTAAAATGGCTGCCCAGTTAAACTGCGTGCCCTTTTAATCTCTGAACAGGTTTCCTTTGGTTCTGCTGATTAATTGACTCAAATTTACAGCTCTGGAAATTAAGGTCTTGCCCCTACACCGCAAGCTTCAATCCCTTGCCTTCCCCCTTCAACCTTGCAGGTTTGTTGAGACAGCTTAGATTTTTCTGTTCACCGACCTTGGCCACCTTTGCAGGACTACAAGTCAGCAAAATTTGTGATGTTGTCATGACCATCACCTGTTGGACCAGCCCCAGAGCAGGTGGAAGCCCTGATCCCTCAAACTGTGCATGGAGGTGGCATGCCTTCACAGAGAACACCAAATAACATCTCTGTTTCCCCTAGGTCGGGACGCGGGTGGCGCTGTGGGTAAAACCTCAGCGCCTAGGACTTGCCAGTCGCATGGTTGGCGGTTCGAATCCCCGCGGCGGGGTGTGCTCCCGTTGCTCGGTCCCAGCACCTGCCAACCTAGCAGTTCGAAAGCACTCCCGGGTGCAAGTAGATAAATAGGTACCGCTTACTAGCGGGAAGGTAAACGGCGTTTCCGTGTGCGGCTCTGGCTCGCCAGAGCAGCGATGTCACGCTGGCCACGTGACCTGGAAGTGTCTGCGGACAGCGCTGGCTCCCGGCCTCTTGAGTGAGATGGGCGCACAACCCCAGAATCTGTCAAGACTGGCCCGTACGGGCAGGGGTACCTTTACCTTTACCTTTTCCTCTAGGTCACTTTTGTGAGCACCAGGCATTGGCCCCAGGTACTTGAACTAGTGGGGCTAGGAACTTGCTGCTTTTTTGTTTAAAAAAAAAGCCAAGAACCCATGGGCGTCTTTGAACCTACTACAAAAAAAGGTCTTGCTCAGCCATGCACAACTTGTACTATAGAGCGGTCATTCAGTACCTTGCGGAGAGTAAATACCTGTCTAAGGTCATCGATGGCAGGGGAGATGTGCTTTCTGAGCATGCACAGAAAAACTGCATTGGAAAATAGGAATTTGAGAAGGAAGTGCTGAAAAGGTTTTCAGCAAATCCAAGAAAACTTGTTTTAGTTTAATTAAACAAACAAAAAAAGATGAAAAAAGGCATGTTCTTTGTAATTTTCCAAAATATATTTGACAACGACATGAAAGCTACTCCCTGATGTTAATTTTTTTATTTAGCTTCCCAGTTTTCAAATAACTGAATATTTTTACAGATTTTTTTTCTTGGGGTGAAAATAAAGTAATTTAAAACAACTGTTGTTGAGACGTTTCATTCCGAATCTGCTAGACAGAGCCAGAGAGGGTGATGACAGGTGGGTGTTCTGAACCCCTAACATAAATGCTGGCTATGCCCATGCAAGAACATCTGGAATTTTGCACCCCAAATGCTGGTTTCTGCATCGTTTTGCCACAAGCAAAAAGGCTCGGCCTGATCTTCTGCCTGTGCCTAGAGAGATTCTTTGTTTTATTTGGTCCATTCATGTCAATTTCTGACGCTCCCTCGTCCCTCCTCCCTCCCTCCAGAGGATGCTCAAGGCATGGCAATTCCCAGCAGATGGCCAGCGGCTTCCTCTGCCCCCATCTTAGCACAGTCCAGGTTCCTGGGGCATCTCCTGGCCCACCTTCTGCAGCAAAACCTGCTCATGGTCCTTGGTAGGGAGATGTTGCTCTGGCACCTGTCTGTTGGGGGATAAAAAGGCAAGACATTGTCAGAGCATCTCAAGGCAGCTGCAGACTGCAGGGGCCATAGATTTGGACCAGGATCTTACTGTTCCTCCCTTTAAACTCAAATTTATTTTTCTTTTACTTTCCTTATATGGCAGCTTTCCCTCTGAAAGTCAGCTTTAATTTGCATCACTCCACATAAATGAGCAAATGTGAATTTTCTGCAAAGTTGTGTCAAATGGGTCTGCAGCCAGAATCAAATGGGCTGTTTTTGCCCCTTTTCATGCCGCTTCCGGGTATGTGGCGATGCATGCTGTCATGGTCACGCATGCCTTGACCGTGCATAAATGGGGAGTTGCCTGTGTCAGTTTGCATTTCTTAGCGCAGAAAGTATTCATCTGATGCGTGGAGATCTTTCCTATTCTGATTAATACAAGAGGATTCTAGAAGCTACTAGAAGCTTCTCTGTGTGAGAGAAATAGGCAGAAGGGTCGTGATTGTTTGGGTTATAGCTTCTGGGAAGCTGGTTTGAACTGGTTCTCTTATCTCTTTCAGTTAAGGTCATTCTGACTATAAATACAGGCCAGAAGGAGCCTGGGTTTTACTATCTCTCTTCCTTCTGGTGTTGTGTTCTGTACATAGTGTGCTTAGTGTTAAGTTTCAGTCGTGTTATAAGTTTTTGTAAGTGCTGCAACTGAGTTTCTTATGGACAGTGCCAATCCTGAATGTACTGGATTAGTTACCATTACATTGCCTTCAGTAGCAGTAAAGCTCTGCTGGATGAAATACCATTGCCTCTGGTCTATTTTTTGGAATCTCTGCAACGTGTGAAGGTTTTCCTCCACACATATGACAGCCTGTGCATGGCATGGTTTACTCCCTTCTGTAAGTCGCTTGGAGGCGTATAAAGAAATTTCTTTAACAAAATTCAAATGCATTAGGAAATGTCCACTTTGGAATAAAGTATATATTTAGAAATGCATAAAATTTTGTGAGGAAACAGGCTCAAAAACATGCATTTATAAATACAAATTGTGCTTTTCGTTAATTTTTTTTAAAAATGGCGGAGAAATGCGAAGATGGGATGTGCTGTGGACTCATGAATGGAGACTTGCGAAAGTTTCCCCCTGGCCATGCCTTTCCAGGAGGCCACAAACAGGGACTCACCCACTCTCAACTTCTTCGATGGTATCTGAGAGCGGCCTGTTGCGTGTCTCTGGCAGGAAGAAAGCGGCAATCCCAGACAGAATTGGGGCTGTCCCGTATATGAGAGGTGGGAGGTATGGAAAATATTCCCCGGTCATTTTTACCATCGGCGCCACTATGCCCCCCACACGAGCCAGGGTGCTTCCTAGCCCCATCCCGGTCTGTCTGCAAGTGTAGAAAACAACCTTTAAAGGAGAAACCATAAAATGGTAAAAAACAAAAGGTTGGTTTATCTTGGTTCTTTAAACAAGTAAACAAATCAGAAAAAGGGAACCAAGATCTGGGTGTCTTTTTTGGGGGGGGGGTATTTTTTGTGGGACTTGATTATTCAGAGATGCTGCTTTGGCGGCTGAGCCACAAGTTGCTTGGCACAGCTTCTTTGGGCTGAATGTCTGAACAGGCACCAATGAGCATTAAAGGCTGTATTTTAGCAGCAGAACATCTGCTTTGTATGCCAAAGGTCTCAGGTTCAATCCTTGACATCTCCAAGGAGGGTTAGGAAAGAGAGAGAGACCCCTGCCAGAAACCCTAGACCAGACTTTCTCAACCTGTGGGTCCCCAGATGTTGTTGAACTACAGCTCCCATCACCCCTAGCTAGCAAGGCCAGAGTTCAGGAATGATGGGAGTTGTAGTCCAACAACATCTGGGGACCCACAGGTCGAGAACTGCTGCCCTAGAGAGATATTTCTAGTCAGCATAAGGCGATACTGAGCTAGCTGGACCAATAGGCAGCGGCGTAGCATGGGGGGCACAGGGGCGGTTGCCCCAGGCACAAAATTGTTAGGGGTGTAAAATGTCAACACCCGGTGCTGCCTCAATACAGCTTTGCACTTCCGTTGCTGGGCTTTGTTGAAAACAGCTTCTCCATGCAAATCAGGAAGTGACCTCTCCAGACAATGGGGCAACTCTTCTTTTCTTATCTTGGCAGCTATGATCTCCTGGGTGACGTGGATCGCAAGCATACTCCCTTCCATCCACCCCTTTGGCGTGGCCCTGATCGCTGGCAACCCATGCTACACCACTGCCAATAAGCTGTGCCATTTTTGCAAATTTCTTCAGTGAGGGGCTTTAGAAATATGTTTCTGGGTGTGAAGAAGTCAAATCTGCTATGATTTTTGTGGTTAGACATTTAGTCCCTCCTGTGCTCCTAAGTTATATGAGACAGCATTAAGTGGATGTTTGTGGTCTTTGATATCTCTGATCTCTCTTTCTCACATGCAAATAGGCACCTCGTTGATGGGGCATCCAAGTAACAAGCATATTCTTAATGAGCTTTGCTACTGCCCAGGCAATTATTTCTGTGACATGTTGGGAATGGCTTTGTGCTGCTGTATCAGGAGTCTGGATTCAGCACTGGTACTTGATGAAAGCTGCATGTTCAGATGATAAAAGAGATATCATACTCTAGCCCAGTGTTTCCCAACCGGTGTTCCGCGGCACACGAGTGTGCCGTGAGACGTTGCCTCGTGTGCCGCGAGATGCCTGGAGGGAGGCGGGCGAGTCGGGCGGCGAGAGGCGGGGCGGCGGCGGCGAGGAGAGGCCGCGCCTCCTGCTGCTGCCTGGCGCTCCTCCTCGCAGCCGGCAGCGCTGCCTGGGCGCCTCCGCGCGACTCTGCCTCGCTGGGTTTGGTCTCCCAGCAGAGACGGGTCACACGCGCCCCTCCCTCCCTCCCTCAGCCTGCGCGGAGGGAGAGCCAGAGAGAGGCATCGCTCCTGCGCGGCGGGAGAGGGAGCAGCCAGAGCGATGCCCCAAACGAACGCATGGGACCGGAGGGGAAATCCTCTCCGAGGCGGATTGAGCGCAGCTGAGAGAAGCCTTTCGAGGAGCTGCCGTGTCCCCTGGAAACCCCCTTCCCAGCTCTGCCTCAGCCGCCGCCGCCTCAGTCGCCCCCTCAGTCCTCGCTCTGCTGCCTCTCCCACCCCAAAGCTTGTAGGTTCCAGCAAGGGGAGAAAAATTTCATTGTGTGTCCTCCCGCGGACGTGCGCGCTGAGTTCACGGCGGGCTTATGGTTGTGCCGCGAGATTTTTTTCAGTAAACAGGTTGCCGTTGCCCAAACTTGGAACATGCTCTAGCCACTGCTCCAATTTTCTCAGTCATTATAAATCAGAGGTGACAGTCAGGATGAACAGAGGCCCATTTACATGATCACGGTTGGGTAGAGCTCGCCTGTGTAGAGATTAGAGGCAATCCCAAACCAAGGATGAAAGCCAAGCATCCTTTCCCAAGCAACTTGCCAGGGAGGTCCCTCCAAGGTGTATATGATCTTGTGTGGAAAAGAGAGTCAGGAGACACATATGGGGTATGGTGAGTTTTCCATCCCTTACACCTTGATGGTTATTTTATTTTTCCTAGCTACCAACAAGTCCAGGGAACTGCAGGAGGATCTGCAGCTAAATCACAGAAAGCGTGGTGGCTAGATAGTCACCAACAGGGGACTCTACGATGTCATAGCCTCTAGACATTTGTTGCGGGAAGGAGAACAACAGAAAATGCAGTTTATACTTCTTCCTGTCACTACACATTCTTTTTCTACTCTCAGATAATTCTATATTGGTTTGCAGCCTTAGGCTGAGATCCTGGGCTCACTTATCTGGGAATAAGTCCCATTGAATATAGTGGGAATTTTGAGTAAGCATGCATAGGACTGCGCTGTGAATTCTGCTGATTTGAAATTATTTCTGAGTTGCTGAAACTCTCTAGATTAATACCCAGCCTTTCATTGTATACTGCGTTAGTTTTATGATGTTAGCCACCCTGAGCCCGGCTCCGGCCAGGGTGGGTGGGGTACAAATAAAGATTTATTTATTATTTATTATTTTTCCTACCTGCAATGTGGGAAGATATTTCTTTGCTGTCCTCCAGAGAGCAATCTGGACTGGACTATTGATATTTTTAACATTTAAGGATTATTGCCTGCCTATTTTTTTATCGTGGCATCTCTTGAATCCTGGCAAGACTTCAATGTGAGTAAACCTCACATTTTAAGTACGGTATTCCAGAAAGCTCTCCCAATTATTCCCATCAAGGAAGCATCTACCAGAGTCATTCTGATGCATTAACTAACAAACAACCCTAACAAAGGAAAGCTATCCAGTGACTGTAGCAATTTAAAAGAGGAGAGGGGATTTACCAACTAAGTGCCATCGGCTGCCAAACCACCTCATGGGACTGATTTTCCGAGCAACGGGTGCAAGCTGTGGCTATGCACAGTGCCAAGCAGCGATGACGTTCACCACTTCTGTTTGACCTCAGCTTACCTTGGGGCACAAATATATTGGCCAGGATGGCTAAGCCAGCCAGGATGACAGAAGAGGCCTGTGTAGTTCTCCGTCCGATGTAGCTCATCCCAATGGCGGCACCCAGCTTGGCCGGGATGTCGATGCAGCCAAATGCCACCTGGATCAGGTAGATGCTGAAGCCAAAGTTCTGGAGGTCCATGACGAGGCCGTAGTAAGCGAAACTAGTGGCAAACCTGGAAGGTAAAAGGTAAAGGTACCCCTGCCCGTACGGGCCAGTCGTCTCCGACTCTAGGGTTGTGCGCCCATCTCACTTAAGAGGCTGGGGGCCAGCGCTGTCCGGAGACACTTCCGGGTCACGTGGCCAGCGTGACGAAGCTGCTCTGGCGAGCCAGCACCAGCGCAGCGCACGGAAACACCGTTTACCTTCCCGCTATAAAGCGGTACCTATTTATCTACTTGCACTTGGGGGTGCTTTCGACCTGCTAGGTGGGCAGGAGCTGGGACCGAAAGACAGGAGCTCACCCCGCCGCGGGGATTCGAACTGCCGACCATACAATCGGCAAGTCCTAGGCACTGAGGTTTTACCCACAGCGCCACCCGCGTCCCTTGGCAAACCTGGAAAGGGGGTGTAAAAAGGAGTTGGCACAGAAAGAAAGGCAAGGGATGTGCAGGTTTTGGTTGTGGTGGGTAGCAAAAACCACACATCTCTCAGCTCCAAAAGCCATTACTTCTGACACAAAGTAATGGCTTTTGGAGCTGAGAGCTGTATGGATTTTGCTTGTTACCAATTTGACAGAATGCAACGAGATTCCAGCAGGACATAATCTTGCGTCACTCACACTGTTGATCACTCCATAGCCCTAAGATACAACCTGCCCTGGAAAAGATGCTGAAAGCACCAAATACAGTGGTACCTTGGTTGTCGAACTTAGTCCATTCCAGGAGTCCATCTGACTCCAGAAATGGTTCGAAAACCAAAGCGCGGCTTCCGATTGGCTGCAGGAGCTTCCTGCACCCAATCGGAAGCAGCAGAAGCCGTGTCGGACGTTTGGCTTCTGACAAATGTTCGCAAACCTTAACACTCACTTCTGGGTTTGCACCGTTCGGGAGCCAAAACACCCGAGTACCAAGGCATTTGACAACCAAGGTATGACTGTACCTTCTTTCTAAACTCTTCTTTTTTATATATGTGGCACAAATATATAATCTGATTTGGGGATAAACTTGACTTCTAAATGTCCACAGGATCAAAGTGTTGGTTTAACTCTATGAGCCGTAACATTTATTCCATTAAATCTACGTAATTTTTCATAGGACTAAAGCAACTGTTCTGGAGCAGGCCGGGGGCGGGGGCGGGGGCGGGGGAGGAGATAATTTATTTTGGTTTTAAACAATGTACACTTATGTCACGGTGGGTATGAAACTGGAGATAGAGTTTTGACATATAATGCAGTAGAAAAAGGGGTTGAATAAAAGCACTCTGGTGGTGGGGGTGGGAAGTCAATACATGAAACAACGTAACTATTCAATTTGAAATCAGTTTTTGGGGGAAATTGGAAATTAAATAAAAAAATTATATTGGAAAAAAGAAACTGGAGAGAAAGTGTATGACAGCCATAGGTTTGTAAGCAGTTAGGTTAAAAATAATGTACTTAAAAAATAAATAAATAAATAAATAATAATAATAATAATAATAATAATAATAATAATAATAATAATCTGTTCCCCATCTAATCAGGAACATCTTTCATTCACCCAAATGTTTTAACATCACCTAAAGCATCCTAAAATTTAGTAATTAGGAACTCAACCTCTTGGTAATTTTAGTGTTGCATTTTAAAAAGAAACTGAAAACCAGGTTTCCAGCCCTGGTGAGAGTATTTGAATTTTAGGAGCGGAGGGATGAAAAGTAACAATCAAGCGTACCAGACACTGGAAATGCAACAGGAGATCCGGCGCACGGTGGGTGTACGAACTAAGCTGACGGCTGTGTAGGATGATCGTGTCAGAGACAATTCTTTCTGCATGCTAGCTTTTAAGACCTACAGGAAGAAAAGGAGAACAAATGGTTGATCTTACTCGTCACTGATGCAGGAGCTTTCCTGGACTGCCCCGATTTAAGGAAAGAATGAAGGCAAAGGCTGGCAGAGGCACTGGCAGCAGAGCCTAAAGGACCTCAGGAAGTCTGCCATTGGCCTTGGGTGACTGACAACCTTCACCAGTCCTATCTCTTGAGTTTCTGAAGAGTCACCAAACCTGCTGGGGATTGTCTGTGTGTCACATAGTGCAATACTCCCTAAGTAGTGGCTTGTAACTGCCAAATACTAGGAGTACAGGGAATGATTCCCGTTTGCAAAGGTGGATAATGTTGGGTTCACAGTTTTTAAAAATATGTGCACTCCAGTAAATACACATGTGCTCAGCTGAAAAGGAGAGAAAGATAGGGTTTAGAACATGCCCAGAAATCCTGTGCTGGAGGCATTTAAGCAGAATGTTGCCTATCTGTTAGGGTTGTTGCAAAGCTTCAGGGGGGCGGGGGCGGGCAGGAATGGGTGGACCACTTTGAGCAGTGGGCCAAGCTGTGCACCCATCTGTCACCTGGCATCATATGACATCAGGTTCCCACCTTGAACTGCAAAGGAACGCTCCTTCCCTTTTTAAATTGGCACCTTTCCTTGCTGAATTTAAGCTGCAGCTGCAAAGGAATGCTCCATTGCCATTGCAGCATGCATTTGGTGCTATTTGAAACAGTTGCTTTACCTGTCCTGTGCATGACATCATGCGATGTCAGGTGATGGACAGGTGAGTTTGTAAGCTCAGTGGCAGATGCCCTGCATGCAAAATGTCCCAGGTTCCTTCCCTGGCATTTCCAGGAAGGGAGAAAGGTTGTTTTCTGCTGCTCCAGAGAAGCGGACACGGAGCAATGGATCCAAACTACAAGAAAGAAGATTCCACCTAAACATTAGGAAGAACTTCCTGACAGTAAGAGCTGTTCGACAGTGGAATTTGCTGCCAAGGAGTGTGGTGGAGTCTCCTTCTTTAGAGGTCTTTAAGCAGAGGCTTGACAACCATATGTCAGGAGTGCTCTGATGGTGTTTCCTGCTTGGCAGGGGGTTGGACTCGATGGCCCTTGTGGTCTATTCCAACTCTATGATTCTATGACCTCGTCTCTGAAACCCTGGAGAGACGCTGCCAGTCAGTGTTGACAATATTGACCTAGCTGGACCACTGAGTGTTTTCTATTGTTCATTTAATTTCTTTCTGGTTCTAACTTGCTTTTATTTGTTGTATTTCATTTTGTCAGGTCACTTTGAGACTTTATCTCTTGTATAAAGTGACCAATAGATGTGATATATAAATAATGCTGATACTAATGTTGGCAATGAAGTATTTTCATACAGTGTGTCGTCCCCGTCCCCCCCCCCCCAATATGTTAATACAGTTGTACCTTGGAAGTCAAATGGAATCCGTTCCGGAAGTCCGTTCGACTTTCAAAACGTTTGGAAACCAAAGCGTGGCTTCCGATTGGCTTCCGAAAGTTCCTGCAGCCAATTGGAAGACCTGTCAGACTTTTGGCTTCCAAAATAACATTCGAAAACCGGAACACTCACTTCTGGGTTTTGATCGTTCGGGGGCTGATTTGTTCTGGAGCCAAGGCGTTTGAGATCCAAGGTATGACTGTATTGTGTTTCTCCTAAAGGTGCCCTTCAAATTGAGTCACATTCGAATATTTCAAAATTCAAAGATTCACATTAAAAAACAACAGATCCAGCCAACATAACAGACACAGATTCACAGAATGTGCACACCCCTTGCTTGTGAATTTGGTTGCATCAACAACCTCAATTCATCTTTGTACCTCTGTGCTGAGTTTCTCTCCCTCTTCCATTTTCCTGTTGATCTGCGCTACCCTCTTAAGAACTTTCACAGCCTGTTCCAGTCGGTTTGAGAGTATTAACCACCGTGCGGATTCTGCAAACCACCTAGGCAGGGTTAAAAAAAAAGTCAAATCTCAAACTGTTGGAGACACAATCACAGTAGGACCAGTACCCCTGGGCAACATCTGATTTCTGCCTTAAGCATATCCAGTGCCGTGGTGCAAATATCTCTCTGGTGCCCCCCCCCTTTCCCAGAGTTGTTGACCTTTCTTAAGGGGGGGGGGGACTTTGGTCTGGCTCATTTACATCGTGTGGTCCAACGCGTGCTTGGCGCTGCATGTAGGTAAGAGGCACCCGGATCGCAGCCCAGATGCCCTCACGCGTCTCTAAGCGTCCCTCTAAGCACCTGGTGCCCCTTACCTGCCCCCATCCGGGGAAGTCCGCGCAACAGGAGGGCCAGCAAGCAGGTCAGGTGGCTTGCCAGCTGTCCCATCCTTGCTTGGTACCGGGATTGCACAAGGCGCTTCCCTGCTCTGCTCACAGACTCCCCAGGGAGGCGCGCAGGCAGCGACGAGGCCAGAGAGAGGCAGGAGAGACACAGCCGTTCTGTCCCACCCACGCTCCCAATTGCACCTGCCAGGCGCCTAGGCAGCCCCTGTGAAAGGGGATGCAAAGAGGCTTCCCTGAGCCGGATGCAACGCAGTCTGATAGGCGGCTGAGAGGAGAGGAGCGGGCTGCCCCAGAGCGGGGAAGGGAGCATGTCCTGACTCTCCTTCCTAGACATTCAGCCTGTGGTGCCCTCCAAAATCTGGCGCCCTGGCTCCCCGTGCCACTAACGTCTGTGGGCAAGATGCCCCTGGGTGGGCCAGCCCTGCTTGTAGCAGGACTGCCGTGCGAATGAGCCATTTGGCCAAATGCTCGCATAACAGCAATTCATGGCAAAAGTCACAGGAACTGTTGGGTGAGACCCTGGCTGCTCTCTAGGGTTTAAGGGTTTAATTAAGGGCATTTTCTGCAAAGGGGTGATGTGTGCTCACCAGGAGTAGACAAAGAAGGCGAGAAAGGGCACTGAAACAGCGAACTGGAGCCAGCGCCAGTCTGGGAGGGCGTAGGCCAGTCCAGGAAGGATGATTTGCCCGGTGGTTGCAGAATATCCCACCACAGTCCCAGCAATCGTGCGCACTTTGGTTGGTACCCACTCAAGGACTAAAGGAAACACAGAGAGAGCGAGAGGAGAAGACAGAGATGCTGCCAATCAATCATTATATAGCGACAGGGGCTGCATCTACACAGCTATTAAAAAACGCTCTGAAAATGATCTGGAAAAAACGTTTTACAGCTCACAATGTAAAAATTCATTCAGTTCTAACTTCAGCTCTACAGCGCCCTCTGGTGTCACAGTGTTACAACACACATATATATTCCACTGAGATCCATACATCTCAGCGCTGTCTACACTGAGTGGCAGAGTCTGCCCAGGGTTTCAGACAGGGAGCCTCTCCCACCTCTATCTAGAGATGCCATCGGCGAATGAACCTGGGGCCTTCTGCAGAGATGATCTGCTACGGAGCTATGGTCCTTTTCATAAAAATAAAGTAAGATTCTAGTCTTTGTGTTTCTGGATAAAGGGCTGATCTAACTAGGAAGATGGGAATCATAGAATTATATGATTATTCTTTGCAGAACTGCATGCTTGTTAAAGTAGGGGTGCAGCAAGGGTTGCCAACTCTCTTCCTGCCCTCTGCTCCCCTGCTTTTAACAGTGACTGGTTCTGCAGATATTACAAGCCGAGAATGCTGCTTTTTCTTCATCCCATGGAAAACCTACTCTGCTCCCTTCTGCACCTTGTCAAGCTGCTGTTAAGGAGCAGAAGAGCAGGCCAGGTTGTGTGTTTTTCCGGTCAGTTGGCAAATCTAGCATAGGGCAGTTCAAATGAGATATTGTTTTGCATTAATTGTTCCCATATGACCAAACAAGCCTGGCATTTCTCTCCCCCCACAATCTGTCTCCAATGTTTCCACATCATGTGACCCACCCACCCTTTGCGCCTCTCCTCTCTGCGTGTGATAAAGCAAATGAGAGCCAGGTATGCCAAACCAGGGGGATAAATATTTGTACAGCTCAGCAACATGCTGAGGGCAAAACACAGCTAATGGAGTCAGGAATGCAAGAAAATGCAAACACGAAAACACTCTTCCACATGCCACCATGCAAAAGCAAGCTTTCCTCCTGCACCTCCCACAACTGCTTGGCAGGCAGAAATCCAGCAGGTCTAGCTTCAACCACTGCTCCATTTCCACATTGGAGTAAAAGCTGCACCCGTCACATAGTGACCTGTCTTGCAGGTGTTAAAAGCACCAGCCTCTAAGTCTGTGAGTGGAAATGTTTGGAATTACAGAGCAAGGGGCAGTGTGATTCATTGGGTAGAGACAACCATGAGGCTCAATGGGTGAGCTTGATTCAGTTTCCGCTCTCTCTAACCCTTCGGATTTTTGTGGGGGTGGGGGAAACAGGGAGAATGATCTTCACATTTGGGCTTAGGGTAGAAATAGAACAATGTTGGGGGGGTGTTTTTCCAGGATAGTCATTGCTGAAATTCTTTGACAACTTTTCAAATGGTTAATTCTCTTACAAGAGAGCCAGCAGTGGTTAGACAAGTGTAGAAACAGGACCAGGGAGTTCTGGGTTCAAATCCCCACTCACCACTGAAGCTTAGCAGGTGACACCCAGTTAGTCACCATCTCTTAGACTTGTCTCTTTCACAGGATTGTTGTGAGGATAAAATGGGGGAAAATCATGTATACCAATATGGGGAAGGCTCAGAATTGTGGAACCAACTATGTTCATTGTTTAGCTACAACCCCAAGCCAGGAGCCAGGTACAAAGCAGTATCTCTGTCATGCAGAATAAAGGAACAGGGTGTTTTTTTGAACGCAGGCTAAGTTCAGAACCAAGCTTCCAAGTCATTTTACATAAAAATCCACTCCTGGTTTTCCTCCAAGCATACTCTTTCAGCAAACTAATTTTGGAGAAAAACATCTGCTGCTCTTTGTTCGAACTGTTGGGAATCAGAACTGCAAACCACCCAGAGGCCTATTAATCGATCCCAATCTATCTTCTGCCCATCCCTGAATTGTGCACCAACTTGAGCACCTCAGAGGAAAGGCGGGGTGAATCTAAATGGTAGATGCTGCAGGGTTTTGATGCTTTGTTCACAACAGGGGGCAGGGGCAGTGCTGAGGGAGAGAAAGAGCCAAGGTGATGGACACCAAAGCTCCATTTATGGGACCGCCTCTCCTGGTATGCCCCGCAGAGGACCTTAAGGTCCATGAATAATCATAGTTTAGAGGTCCCAGGCCCTAAGGAAGTCAGATTATCCTCCACCAGGGCCAGGGCCTTCTCCGTGATGGCTCTGACCTGGTAGAATGCTCTGTCTCATGAGACCAGGGCCCTGCAGGATTTAACCTCCTTCCGCAGGGCCTGTAAGACAGAGCTATTCCGCCTGGCTTTCAATTTGAATTTAGCCTGTTCTTTTATTTCTCTTCCTTCCCTCCCCTTTTTATGAAGATTACCCGGTCTGGGATCCCACAGCTAATTCTCCCCTGGCCTCCTTGTTGGCCCAAATAGGACTAATTTAGCCACCCTGGTGTGTGGCTGGAATGCTGGAATGCAGTCTGTTGTGCAAAGGTAAGAGACTCACCTGTTGCTTCATTGGTCCTCTGGTCCCTAACTCACACTGGCAGGCAGCCCCTGGTAGGTGGCTCACGGAAGAATGAGACCCTTGGGCAGAATAATGTTCCCTATCTCTGGTGTGGAGGAATTGAATTTACCTAGCTGATGCTGAACATCATAGCCTTAAAATCATGAAACAAGATTGAAAGGGCCCGATCCAATGATGTTGCTGCACTAGTGGAAACCTCTGCAACTGGACTCCCCTCCCCAAATTTGCTCGGGAGGATCAGGAGAACCCCAATATCATCACATTGGCAGAACAGGGTCAAGATTGTTCCACCTGGCAAGCAGAAATACTTCCTTGGATGGAACTAGCACAAAGTTGAATTCCATCCAAAGTGGCCTTAAAGTTGCATTTAAAAACGGAGGGTTGCATTCAATGGAAGTCCTACTCAGAGTTCACCCACTGAAATGAATCGACATGACTAACTTAGGACCATTAATAGTAACGTGTCTACTCTGAATAAAGCTTAATTGGCATCAACCCACAAATTAGAACAAATTTGCAAGGTCCACAATCAAATTCTGAAATCTTACGAAAATTCTAATTTGTACCATTCCATCTACCCTGTCCCAGCTAGGGAATAGATGAATTTGGCTGTTTCCATTCTGTGTGAGTTTGCATACATGCAATCACTTCTACTCTGGGTTTGTGTGCATGTTTTAATAAATGCATTTACTTTTTCTTTTTGGCACATTTCCTGTAAAATGCGCATTTTTTAGAACCAAAAATTCCTTTGGAACAGTGCATCATTGAATTGATAGATGCTTTCCAATCCAGGCACCCAAGAGCTTCGAATTGGGCTGGCTTGCTTCAAAATGCAGGCCGAACCAGTTTCTCTGCCATCCCTGGGACTCTGAGCTAATGGTGCTTCAACTGGCCTCATCGGATTGGGCCTTGCGACTCTTACCTAAGGACATGCAGTTCAGGATAATCCCAGAGTACGACATGCCAACCAGGAAGCGGAAGATGCAGTAGGCTGTGAGATTCGGGGAGAAAGCGGTGCACAGTCCTGCAACGGCCATCTGCAGGTAGGACCAGCTTAAAACTGGCTTGCGCCCAAATCTGCAACACAGGACACTGCATGAATATATTGCCATTGCTACAGTACCAACAATCTGAATGCTAACAGCAGGACTGGTCCCAGATTCTTTTTTATGGGGGGGGGGATAGAGTCTAGCAAGGTGCCTCTCAAGCTGCAGGTTTCCCGGATGCTAGCAACTGATTTGGGAAACGGCCTGTCTACAGCCATACTACCCTGAACACACCTGATCTTGTCTGATCTCGGAAGCTAAGCAGGGTCAGGCCTGGTTAGTACTTGGATGGGAAACGGCCTGCCAGTTTGATTTCCCACAATGCCCCTTTGCGGGAACAGTGCTGCTGAGGCCGGTGTTTCGTCAAGCCTAATTGAGACAGCAGTTCACATCTTCATCTGTTCCCCCACCCTCCACCTGAGTTGTTTCACCCACCAGGCCTGAGCTTCTCCACCCCTGAGCAGATATATTGAACAACCACAGATACCCACCTGTCAGCTAAGCTCCCAAACACGAGAGCGCCCACCAGAACTCCCCCCATGTAAATAGACTGTGCCATCTGTCTCCTGGTCCGCAGGTTACACACCAGATCCCACTGCATGGATGGAATGGAAGAGCATTAAAATGCAGGCAAAGCAACCCTTTCACACAAGAAGAGGAAACACAATCCCGGCAGCATGAAAGCAAGTGTCCTGCTGAAAGAGAGCAGTAATATACATCTGGCCTAGTAACCTACTTCCAACGCTGGACAGCCAAAGTGCCTATGGAAAGTCCACAAGCCAAACATGCAGGCAATAGCCCTCTTCCGTTGTTATTCCCTGGTCTCTGGTGATCAGAGGTAGACTGCTACTGACTGTGGCAGTTTCACTTTGCTCTCGTAGTTAGCAACTGATGGTGGCAGGATTTCAGTGGCCAAGCAAAATAAGATATAAAGCATGATGGTGACTGTATTTGCTACCTATACCGAATACGCCCCTCCCCCCTTTAAAAGCAGCCTAGCCCCCAGCCCTCCAATCTTAAGTACAGTTCTCCATATTTCCATGCCAGGTTGCAATTTTTTAAAAAATAGTCCTCCTGAATATTCATCAGCAATTTGGTGCAAATTTCTCCCAATACAGTGATACTTTGGGTTACAGACACTTCAGGTTACAGACGCTTCAGGTTACAGACTCCGCCAACCCAGAAATAGTACCTTGGGTTAAGAACTTTGCTTCAGGATGAGAATACGAATCGTGCAGCAGCGAAGCGGCGGCAGCGGGAGGCCCCATTAACTAAAGTGGCGCTTCAGGTTAAGAACAGTTTCAGGTTAAGAACAGACCTCCAGAACAAATTAAGTTCTTAACCTGAGTTACCACTGTATTATTGATTCACATATAGAAATCTTTCTGTGAAGTTTTGCCTAGTATACACATTTTTGCAAAACAATGTTCCCTAAGATAACACATTTTTACATGCAATCTTCACACGTATGTATAATTTTATATGCAACTTACTCCAGTATATATGTATTTGTGTGCAGGTTGCATGTCTGGAGAATTTCACTGTAAAATTCAGAGAAGCACGCCTTTCAAAGAATGGTGGCTGTGATTCAGTTTGCACGTTGCTCTGGGACGTGTGAAGTAGGCAGGCTCACTTATAAATACGAACAGAATTGGCTCCCCCCCCCCGTGCCTACACTGGGGTCCCAGATTAGGAGCCTGTGAGGGCCAGCTGCTCCTCCAAGCCCTTGCCACACCCTGCTTGGGCCCAGACTGATGAGGAACAGGCTTGCAGCCTTAAACCAGGCAAGAGAGAAGAGAGGTCTGTTCTGAGGTTTGGCACACTCCCCAAAAAGGCCACTAGCCACTTTCAGCGCCCAAATTTTCCTTGCCAGCGCAATGGGCTAGGAGATAGTTAAATTCTCCCTGCCACGGATCCTGATAATTAGCAGCTAGTTCTAGCGGGAGAAAAAACCTGCCCATTAAATGCAAAGACACATTCAACGCCATGTCCCGCCTTGGCCCTCGGATGTCTCCAATTAGCAGAGACTGAGCTGGGGGGGGGGGGGCTGTGGCCCTCAGGATTACAATCCTCTCCAGTCCCAGACATCATGGGGCTGCAGGAAGATGTGGTGCAAGTCATTTATCAAATGCTTGCCTTGAAAAGCTATCCCCTATGAAACATCACTGCACGTGGAACCCACGTGGAATGCCATGGCAGCCTGACCCCCACCCAACCTGCCGCCCAGGCCCTCTCACCTCCATGATGATAGTGTTGACAAAAACGCTGTTGTCATAGATCCACCCATCATAGCACGGCTCCGTGTCCACCTGTGTCACATTGTGGCTGTCGTCGGCGCTGGAATTGAGGAGGTGCCAGCGGGGTGTAACAAACCGGCGACACTTCTCCGGTTTCCCGGCCACGTCTTTGGGGATGTAGATCCACAGGAGGTCCTCCTCCTCCACCCCTGGCTTTTGAGTAGTTCTGTTTGCATGGCCAGGGCTGGTGGCGTTGCCGATCAGCCGGATCCGGCAGTGGTGGTCGGGGATGGCGGCGGAGAAGTTCTGCAGCAGGTTGTGGCTGGCGACCAGCAAGACAGGAGTGACCAGCAAGGCCACCTGCAGGACCTGGAAGCGGCCCATGCCCCCGATCTTCTCAAGTAGGTCGGCAAACGCCATGGTGGAAGAGGGAGGAACGTTTGGAGGGGGACGACTGAGTGGCTGGCCTCAGGAGCGATCTTTTGTGGCCGGGATCTCCGGAACGCATGCCAGCCCCAGGCAAACCCTTCCCACCCTCGCTGGAAGAAGTTTCCTCTCGCTAATTCAGGGTCAGGATCTTTCTCAAGGCAAAGCTGTGACGGCCCCCATCTTGGCCGCAGCTGAAAACATCGCAGGCCGGCCTGGCGGGGGAAATAAAAAACACATTTCCAGCAACCTGTTTTGTGAACTCAAGTCATCCCTGCAAGACTGTTCTCTACACAGGCTGTAAACTGCATGGGGTGTTTATGAGTCCCTTTTTTTCTCCTGTGTGTGTGTGTGTGTGTGTGTGTGCCGTAGCCTTGAGGGGGGAACCAATGGGGCTAGGTTTCAGAAAAGGGGGGTTGTTCTCTTCTCCATGGGATTATGCAAGCCCTAATCACTTTACTTGGGTCAAAGTTCTAATGAGGCTTTGAAGGATTAGTCCAAAAGGAATAGGAAGGAGGAGAAAATGAAGGCATTCAGTAAATGTGGGGCAGGGTGTTGCATGGAACAAGTATTAGGGGTTTTTTTTGGGGGGGAGGCGTGTGGAGAAAGGAAAGAGGGGGAGCTGGCTGTGTTCTCTTGGCTACAGGAAGCATCGTTTTTTGTTTCTTGTTCCGTGCTCATAATCTTAAAAAGCGGACTGCTGGAGATCGCCTGCCCTGGAATGACAAAGGCAGGAGATGGCACAGCACTGGAGAGAATGGTTGTTCTCATCAGGCAGTGGGAAGTGGCTCTGTGGTAGAGCATCTCTGTTGCAGCAGGCAGAAGGTCCGGAGTTCGATCCCCAGCACCTCTGGGTAGCACTGGGGGAGATTCCCTGTCCAAAAACCCGGAGGGCTGCTGCCAGTCAGTATGGACAGTAGGGAGCTCCATGGACCATTGGCTCTGACTCAGCAGAAGGACATTTCCGATATTCTCCCATCAGGCTCTGATTGGTGTGTGTGCAAGCTTTTGAGCTACACAGAGCGCTTTATGATTTTGCCCCTTTCTGCCTGGGAAAGAGCTGTGTGAGGATGGAAAGCTGCCAAGAGGCAGCCCAGGTGAGGCAGCTGCTTGCACCAGTGTCACAAAGGGCCCACGTGGGGAACAGTGCCAAATTCTTATCACATGTGACTCAGTGAAATAAACGGGAGCTGCACAAATAAGGGAAGTTTATGAGCATGTGAGGCCTTCAAATTTGGCCGTATCAATTTAAGGGGAGTGTGTGTATGTGTAGATATCAGCCAGAAACTAGCCTGGGGGTAATGTAGCCCCCAGGCTAAAAACACTCCTGCAACCTTGATTTATTCCCTATCTTTTTATTTGCTGGCTGAAGACACTGTACAAAGAACAGAGTTGTGATTATTAACAACCTGTCTGCTTTTTTGAAGGGGGAAAAACGGTTTCTAGCTTTTGTGGCCGAGATGCTAATGTGTGAAAAATGTGACTGCCGTGTTTTTGACAGACGCAAGTCAAAGCAGCCAAATAGCGTAGTAAAATTATGCAGCAGGGCAGTGTGCTTCATAATTTCTGCCTTCGGGGAGCACCAGCCGCTTTGACTTCACCCCAAATGTTGAAGCGTGGTGTTCCACTGTGTGTGGCAAAGGATTCTGGGACGTGTTCTGGGGTGTGCACTCAACACAAAGGGTACCTTGCCCAGGCCGGTTGAAGTTACCTGCTGACTCAAGTGAGTGAAGAACAAATCCCCCCAGTACATTTAATGCTGCCTTGCAATGTGTGCTGCAGGGCAAGATTGACCTGTCCAATGAACCTTGTCCACCATTTCCAGTCACCGTCTAGAGCAGGGCCAGCGGTGGAGCAAGCCGATCGGGCACCCGGGGCAGCGCGCATGCCCTGCACCCATGGGCGGGGCAAGCTGGGGCAGGACGCTCCGCCCTACAGCTGAGGGGGAAGCGGTGGGCAGACCGTTTGGGGCAGCGGGGAGCCGGTGGGCACCCAAGCCACCGCGTCACTCCCAGGAGAGACACGTGGCTCAGGCGCACTGCAGGCCCCACGGTGAGTGCCACCCAGCATTTTGTCACCTCCCTCAGTGGTGACACGTGCTGCAGCCCGCCCCCACCGCACCCCCCTTCCTCCAACCCTGAGCAGGGCTGTGTGCCGAGGCCAGAGGTCAAATGTGGCCCCCAGGTGTTCTCTGCCCAGCCCTTGGGACTCCTCCCAGGCCACACCCTCTCGCTGGCCCTCCTTCAGGGCTTTTGCTTGCCAGGATGTGTCCTTCAAGTCTGACTGTGTGTCTGCTTGCCTGGATGGGGAAAGGAGTGGGGTCTGCACAACCTCCTGGTTTCTGCCAGGCTGGGGAAGTTGCCCATTGTAACATATTATTTTTGCCTCCCTTATATGCCTGTTGCGATTATAAAAAGGAACACCCCCCTCCATTTATTTCACCTCGAGCTCCTTGGAGGAGAGTTGAATCATAGAATTGTAGAGTTGGAGGGGGTCACCATGGTTCATCTAGTCTGACCCCCTGCAATGCAGGAATCTTTTGCCCAGTGTGGGGCTCGAACTCACAACCCTGAGATTAAGAGTCTGATGCTCTACCAACTGAGGAATCCATCAGGATGTGGGCCGAGTCTGAAAGTTTGTCAATCTTTTAAGCCATCTTTTTAAGCCATCTTGCCGGGTGCGGTGGGTGCGTGTCCTTTTTGACAATTTATTAACATTTTGGGGGAACTGGGTCGTGTTTTTGTTGTTGTCACTGTCCTCACTTGCCCTTGCCCTCACTCGCTCTCAGTGATGGCATTATCAAGTCAGATTTGACAGGCTGCACAGAGTTGTGATGCCGTTCTAAGCTAGGGTTGCCATATTTCAAAAAGTGTAAATGCGGACACAAAAGTTGTTGAAGCCATCACGAGGAGCTCCGCGCTCCCCTTTCCCCCTGCCCCTCCTTTCCCTTCTTCCCTCACGCCCTTCACGCCCACCACTGAAGTCTCTCTCCGAAACTTTCCGCCAAATGTGTCCAGAGAAACGGAGAAGATGATTGTTAGGCTGGACCTGGAAGCTGCCTCCACGGCCAACCAAACCTCAGCAGAGCTGCTAGCTGCAATACGGACAGGAGAAGCCCCATGAGGAAGCTGAGGCCGCAGTAGGGTGAGAGTAGTGGTGGGGCTGGAAGGTGGGGTGTGCTTTTTGAGATATTTTATGGGAAATTGGCAAAAATGACACTGCCAATATGGGCTGCCATATGTCCTGATTTTCCGGGACATTTTCTGGCTGATTTCCATCTGAATGCTGCTTCTGACCGCAGTATTACGGGCATGTCTGGGAAATTCCAGGTGTATGGGAACCCTATCTAAGCAGTACGCAAGTAAGGGGACCTTGAAGGGGTGAGGTGCTTCAGTTGGAGCTGGCACTGGAGGCTGCTCCATTGGGGCAAATGGGGCACTGCTCTGAGTCTGCCCTCTGCCAGCCCCCACCTGCCTGCCTTTTTTACTTACAAGCAGTCAAAGGGGTGGCCGTCTCGCAGAGCTCAGAAGGCAGGCGGAGGAGGAGGATGGGGACGAGGGATGGAAGGATTCCAGTTCTCCCAGTTTCTCATTCTAAAATCCAGTTCCCCACATTTTGCAACGATTTGGAATTTATTGATTAAAGAAAATTCCCTGTGAAAATTCACCAGCATTTTTAATACGAATTTTTCCTAATAAACACATTTTCATATGCAGTTTTGGTGAACGTACACATTTTTGCAAGCAATTTCCCCTAATGCAATGCATTTTTGTGTCTTTTTTTTACAATTTTTTTAAAATGCATGCTTTCCCTTAAAATGTGCATTTTAAAAAATGGTTGGAAAACTGTAACCTGAAATTGGGAAAAGTGTGAATTTTGAAGGATAGCTCTGTTTCGGTTCACACGTGGTTTCAGAAAGGGCAAGTTGGATAGATTTGGCTTTGAATGCATACTGAATTGAATTCTTCCTCTGTCCCTAATGGGGCAGAAACAAGAGCTCCTTAGCTCTGCCTGCCATTGGCTGTGGCTCCAGCTGTCATTGACTCTGGCTCCGCCTACTTTGCCCTCCCTGCTTTCTGCTCCACCCAATAGGCACCAGCTGCCACTGGGAGCAGGCATGGGGAACCAATGGCCCTCCACAAGACTGTGAATATGCTTGTATAGTTCAGGTATTTCCCGGCAGAAATGAGCACCCTGCTGAAAGTCCTTGTTTGACCCCAAAGTAAAAACTGGACACTATTCCATCCTAACCTGACAATAATTGAGAGTTGGCGCTCTGTGTGCTGTTGCATTTCTTTGATGGCTTCCAAACAAGTCCTGCTGTTTTGCTGAGCCTCACCTCCCAAGAAAACCCACATGATAAGGCAGGGATGGTGAACGGCCCACTGGATCTGGCCATGGCGGGTTTTTCCCTCTGGCCTTATTTGCTCCCCTCTTTCCCTTGCTCCTCCTCTCCTGCTGGCTTCCTCTGCCCAAGTAGGGAGAGCTCATTGCTTTGAAAATGTTGATCTGATGGCACCTGCAACCTCCACTTGCATCTTAATTTGAACCAACTTCATCTGTACATTCTGAAACAATATGCAACCCAAAGCACAGGGTACCTCCCCTCCCCCAAAATGCATATAACTCGGAAAATCATGCCTTAAAATGCATGTATTTGTGTCCCTAGTATAACATCAGCAGTGCGTTCTATTAGGGGATATTGCATTAGGATTGGGGAGATATTAGATTCAGTTCTCATCTGAAGCTGAAGCTATCAAATCTGCACTGTCTGAAACAACGCGTGAACCAAAACACAGCTATCTGTTAAAATTCACACTCATACGAAATTTGCCTTGCAGTTTTCCAAGTAAACAATGGTTTTAAAAAAAGCATATGTAGAACCAAAATTGACAGCTCTTTCCATCTTTATTTAGAAGTGCACTAAAAAAAATAAATGCTTGTGAATTTTCAGGAGGACTTTAAAAAACACACCAAAATGTTGTAGACATGCTAGGAACAGAACTGGTAAACTGGAAAAACGAGATTTGGTGGGTCCTTGCAGCAGAGACTAGCTTAAGCCCCTTCCACCTTAAAGTGTCCTTGCAGGGTGGAGGGCATGGCCAGTCAGATCCTCAAACACAAGAGGCCCTTTAAGGAGATGAGGATTGCCCCCCCCACTTTTTTGCAGGTCTCCAGCTGTGAGTTTTTCACACTTGGACATGTCAGCCAGGCTAGAATGGTGTCCTAGCCTATTACGATTAACAGAATGTCTCGACTTTGCTATGCTGGTAGAAGAAGGCACTTAGGGTATTTTTTTATTGTTGAAGGTGGTACATTGCAG